GGATGGGGGGGGGGGGGCGCGGGGAGCAAAGGGAGGAAGCGACCACAGCATGTTTACTAAGAGGCCTGCCCACAACTCCAGCCTCTTCCTTATTTCTAAGGAGGGCATGTTCCCTCGTACGCGAGCAGATCATTAACCTTGGAGGCTGTGTGCAGGCCGCCTGGCAGAGCATCCTGTATGCAGGCACGCTCTGCCCAGGCAGCGAGCCCCGTGTGCGGGCACATCCCCGCGTCCCTAACCACGCTTTCTCTGGTCACTGTCGGGCTCCCACAAAGCCACTGCCCTCAGCCCCCTGCAAAGGCCCTGGGCGCAGAACAGAACCGCCCAGAACCGTCTCAGCCCCGACTCCAGCCTCCCTGAAGCGGGCCGAGCCCCCCGAATTCCGGGAGCCCCCGCCAGGCTCAGAGTGCGCAGGCGCTGCTGTGAGGGGTGCGGCGCGGAGGCCTGGATCCAGCGTCCCCGCGCCGGAGCCTGTGGGATGCTGGAGGCGCGCAGCGCGCAGGCGCCTGGGAAGTGGGCGGGGCTTAGAGGGAGGTGGCCCCGGAGCACCCAGGTGGGTGAGTGGAGCCCTGAGTTTTGACTGTCTTGTGCCCTTGTTGATTTGTGGCTTTCTGAGTGTGTGTGTGTGTGTGTGTGTGTGTGTGTGTGTGTGTGTGTGTGTCCTGTCCTATTTCATGCCTTCCAGTTCTCTCCCTGATAGAATCTATGCCCCCAGCCCGTTTTTTTGTTGCCCTGCTAGAATGAGAGACCCTCGAAGACACACAGCTTGTAAGTTCTGTTTAGGGCTGTCCACCCAGGAACTGGAAGACTGGCACATAGTAGGTACCCCGAAAAGAAAAAGAATCCCGAGTGTACAGAGGCTGGTCCACCACACATCACCCCCAACTGAAGTTACTCTCTGTGGGAGCCCGACAGTGACCACAAGAAAGCGTGGTTAGGGACGCGGGGATGTGCCCGCACACGGGGCTCCCTGCCTGGGCAGAGCGTGCCTGCAAACAGGATGCTCTGCCAGGAGGCCTGCACACAATATCCAAGGTTAAAGGTTAATGCAAATGATGGAACATGCCCTCCTTAGAAGTAAGGAGAAGGCTGGAGTGGTGGGCAGGCCTCTGAGTAAACTTGTTGTGGTCGCTTCCTCCCTTTGCTCCCCTCTGTCCTTGAAATGTGTTTGGCTACTTGCCCTTCATTGGTAAAGGAATGCATCTTGTAGATTTCAGTTTGTATCCAGTTACCGGGGTATAAAATAAACCGCAAGAGGGGCTTGCGTAGAATTGTTCCTCTGGCCGGAGTTGTGTCTGTCTTTTGTGTGTGTCTTGTCCTTTGTGTCATTTCGTCCACAACAACTCTCAGACACGTTCCATCACTCAAAGCAACACAGCCCCATCTAGGCGCGGGTTTTCCAGGATCTAATCTCCCTGACTTCGGTGTCCACGCCATGAAGTGAAATCTAGCTGCGACGATGCCATCTCTAAGTAACTGCGAACGAAACCTTAGTGTTCGTAATAGTTTGTGGTTCGAATCAGATAAAGGTGGTATTGATAGTTTCCATTTTATTTTAATTTTTAACGTTTATTCATTTCTTTTTTTTGAGAGACAGAGAGTGAGCAGGAGAGGGGCAGACACACACACACACACACACACACACACACACACACGCACACACAGAATCCAAAGCAGGCTCCAAGCATGAGCTGTCAGCACAGAGCCCGATGCAGGGCTGGAACTCACCAACTGTGAGGTAATGACCTGAGCCAAAGTTGTCCGCTTAATGGAGCTCCCTGAGCCACCCAGGAGCCCCTGATAGCTTCCATTTTTTCTTTTTTTTTTTTTAACTTTTTTTTTTTTACTGTTTTTATTTATTCCTGAGAGAGAGAGAGAGAGACAACATGAGCAGGGGGGGATCAGAGAGAGAGGGAGACACAGAATCCGAAACAGGCTCCAGGCTCTGAGCTGTCAGCACAGAGCCCGACGCGGGGCTCGAACCCACGAACCGTGAGATCATGAGCTGAGGCCAAGTCGGATGCTTTACCGACTGAGCCACCCAGGCGCCCCAATAGCTTCCATTTTCGAAGTAATGTATAATGAGTTTAGAAATCGTCGCTGACATCTTCGCAAGAAAAACATTCAACAAACAAAATCAACAACTTTTTTTAAGACCCATCAGAAAATTGAAGTCACAAAGAAAACCACACCCCAAAATGTGGAAAGACTGGTGAATACTGAAAATCATGGCAGGTGTGAGCTTACCTGAAGCAGAAGCTGCTAGAATCATGAACAGGTACACATTCTTAACTGGTAATTTTGGTGAATAGGAGGTTTAGTGTGCACTACATTGTGAGTTAAAAACTCCTGGGGGCATAGTCTTAGACGGGCTCTTCCTCTTTCATGGATCTTACCTCCAGGAACTCCACAAAGTCCTAACACTAAAGATCGGGGTGGGGGGAGCACCTGGTGGCTCAGTCGGTTAAGTGTCCGGCTTTGGCTCAGGTCATGATCTCACAGTTCGTGTGTTCGAGCCTCACTTCAGGCTCTGTGCCAACAGCTCAGAGCCTAGAGCCTGCTTCAGATGCCACAGACTCCATCTGAGAAGGACTTCTTAGGGAAACTCAAAATGGCCGGGAGGGAGAAAAAGCAAGAAAACTGGAGAACATCAAACCTCTGGCACCTATAGCTCCAATTAGATACAATCCTAACCAGATTCACATAAAATCTCCCACTAAACGCCTAATTAACCTTAGTTATTATTACCTAGTACATCGTGTCCAGTTTTCAACAAAAAAATTTTAAGACATGCTCAAGAAAAAGCAGTCTGAAGAGACAAAGCAAGTGTTAGAACTAGACTCAGATATGGCAGAGATTTTGGAATTATCATACCAGGAATTTTAAATAACTGATGTTATTTTATGTTAAGGTGACTAATGGGAAAAGTGCAAAAACGTGCAACACGCAAAAACAGAAGGATGATATAAGATGAGAGATGGAAACTCTAGGGACGGGGAAATGCTATAAAGTTATGCACTGTATATAACAGGAATGAAGGCTGCCCTTGATGGGCTCATTAATAGACTGGATACAGCTAAAGAAAGAGTGAGTGAGTTTGAGGATATGTCAGTAGAAAGTCTCCCAACTGAGATATAAAGAGGAAAAAAAGAATGAAATAAAACCCCCTCAGGAGTGCCTGGGGTGGCTTTGTTGGCTGAGCATCGGACTCTTGATTTATAGGCTCAGGTCATGATCTCATGGTTTGGAGCCTGCTTGGGATTCCCCTCACACCACCCCCGCCGTTTCTCTCTCAATAAATAAAACATTTTTAAAAAGAGTACCAAATTAGCAACCCTCACAATATCCCGGAGCTATGAGACAATTGCATAAGGTATAACATATGAGTAATTGTAATACCAATAAAATAAAGGAAAAGAAATAATTGAAGTAATAATGGCTGAGAGTTTTCCAAAATTAAAATGACAGACACTAAGCCACAGATCCAGGAAGCATAGAGAATACCATGCAGGACAAATATATACAAATATATATATACACCTAGACAGATCATATTCAAGATGCAGAAAAATCAAGGATAAAATCTTGGAGGATGCCAGAGGGGGAAAGGCACCTAAGAGAGAAAACAGAATAATATAAAAGTCTCAATTAAAACCAAAGATGGCATAAAGAAAAGAGGAAACAAAATATTGATTATGTAAAGTGACCGTTAATCTAGCACTCTTGCTAATGCTCTTACAGGTTCTAATTGGTTCTTTTTATAGGTAAACCTTCCTATCTGCCAATAATAACAGTTATATCTACTCTCTCCCTATCATTGCGTCTCTTAATTCTTTCTTTCCTTACAGGAGGGCCAGACCTCCAGTACCATGTAATTTGGTAGGAGCAATACTGGATGTACCTGTCTTATTCTTAGAATCAAAGTGAAAGCAGGGGCGCCTGGGTGGCTCAGTGGGTTCGAGGCCCGCATCGGGTTCTGTGCTGACAGCCAGAGCCTGGAGCCTGTTTCAGATTCTGTGTCTCTCTACCCGTTCCCCACTCATCCTCTGTCTCACTCTGTCTCAAAAATAAATACTATTTAAAAAAGTAAAAAAGAAAATCAAAGTGAAAGCATTAAGTACAATTGTACTTAATGGGTTTAAATTTTTTTTAATTTATTTATTTTTGAGAGAGATAGAATGTGAGCGGGGGAGGGGCAGAATCCGAAGCAGGCTCCACACCGTCAGTGCAGAGCCCAATGCGGG